TATTACATTATCACATATTGTGGCATTACAACATAACCCGGCATTACTATGGCTTTCCAAGCCACCCTTTGCTCTCTGCTACACTATAGCTCCTTCCCAACAGGTAGCCTGCCATGAATGCTAAGGGTAAGCTAGGAAAGCCAATGATGATGGCAGATAAATGGTCATCCCGCAAGGGAAAGTTGTTTCTCTTCCATTAGCACCTTGAGTGACAAGGAGACAAGCATGGTTGACAGTACTGCGTCACTCCTCCATGCTCTGATTGTTTGTTTTTTTTGAGCGGTTGAGGACCTTGGTCTTTTCAAACTGTCTCATTACATACCGTCACGAAAAATATACTTTTGTAAAATTTACATACTGCAGCTTTAAGAACTGGCGACAAATTAAGAACAAGTAAGAGGTAACTGGAAGTACTGTGAAAGACGGACAGATAAAAGAAAGGACAAAAAAAAAAAGAAGTAGAAAAAAAAAAGAACGAGAAGGATCCATTTATGTGTCTTTTTATAACAAGGGTCTCAAACTGCGTTCTTGGAAGGCCACAGTCCTGTAACTTTTAGATGTCTCTGTGCTTCCTGGCGCCTATAGCTCTGTAGAGCTTGACTCCATGCTAATGAGGCAGATTCAACTTATTTTTCAAGAGATGCATCTAAAAGTTGCAGTAGATGCAACTCTTAGATGCAGTTTGAGACCACTGCTTTGGGGGCTAGTGAGCCACATTAACAGCTATGGTGGGATGGAATTGGCCCCCCAAGCCCAACACATGTGCTCACATGTGCAGAGCACACAACATGTGCTGTACATGGTTGTGAAAGTGGAATTCAAAAATGGAAACAACCAATTTTTACTCTTTCAAGTATCCAATCTGGGGTACTATCTTTATTCTGGGTTGATAAGAGTCGAGGTCACAAAGTCAGCTTTGTGTTTGAAGTTCAAAACACGTATTTAGTTGTGAAACATAATAGCTGCCATGCGCAGCTGACATTTTATACTTCAGAGGCCGGTTTACTGTCTCTACCATAAATACAATACAGCAGACGTCCATGTGAGTACAGGGAACCACTTTACCCTATGTAAAAATACTAGGACAGCTTCCAGTGCTGTAGAAGAGTTCTTTTTAAAAAATTCACATTTTTTGTAAGCTTTAAAGGTTGTTTTTTTTTTTTTTTTATTTAAGAACATGAACAGAGTGCTGCTTAATCTTGGAGCATTGAGCAAAGCTCTTTTCAAAAATGAGTGACTGCCATGAACAGAGACTGTTGAAAGTGGTTTCTGCAAGAGAGAGTCAACAATGTATCCCCTCAAGGAAGGCATACATTTTTCCCCCTTGCTTTATATTAAACAATGAAAATGGGAAGCCGCTGTTAAAAATCATCAGAGCTGGCAACTTATAAGAATTTTCTCATAAGTTGTAAGATTCAGCAAGCACCCTGAGCAAGTGTGTTCAAGTCTCGGGTGTAACTACACCCTTTGAGGTTATTACAGGTTATTAATGTGAAATCAATTAAAGTTCATGATTTTTTTTTCCAAAACTGCAGGACAGGCAATATTCTAAGATGAACTGAAGACACATTTAAATTTTTGACAAATATACAAAAAAAAAAAAAAACATTTCTATAAAAGTTACCTGCTTCATGAGAATTTTAGATGGATATTAAATGCCTATTTTACTTCCTCACAGCTCATTGAAAATTGACAAATGAAAAAAAAAATAGGTGTTTAGAAATGTTAACATGAAAGCAAGAGATATTTTATTGTATTAAGTTCAGCTAACTAGAATCATTCTAATCTCAGTCTTGTGCTGCAGAAAGGTGAATGTATCAATGGACTGATAGATTTGATTAATGACTGACTGATTGATTAATAAATTAGATGAATGATGTGAAAGTCCTAAGCCACACACACACCCCATACTGCAAGGTCAGTGAAAGGTAGATAAAAAAGTACTGTGGCCCTCTCCCTGCTCCAGATTAGCCCAGAGAAATCATGAGGGACTTATTGCTCTAATTAAATTCAACAGTCAAGTCAAGTGTTCAAGAGGGAAACCACAGACAAGAAATACAAAAAAAAAAAAGTTTTAGAACGACTTAGTGTACCTGAAGATGCTAACAGAGTCATACATGTGATGACTTCAAGCCAAGTTTAAATTAATTTACATGTGACAGATGTAAATTAAAAGACTCTGTTTCCTACTACTTGGACGTGAAGCAGATTTGCATCTTAAACTGGAATTCAATCAAAAATACGTTTCTCCATAATATCACTGAACTCTGATTCAGAACCGCACAGCATTCTGGGGAATGTAGGCTTTGGTTGATCAATTTTTCACAGCCAACTAAACAAGGTTGGTGGCATCAACTCACTCACTCAATGGCTAAAACGTGCACATTTCAGATTTTGGTACCATGCCTCACAACCGCTTAAAATATAAAAACAATGACATCGGTTGAAAGGAGAAAACAGCTTGAGAGGAAATTGAGGATAAAACAGGAAAGGTCACGTCACCAGTTTGGCAGTAATACAAATATTTAGGACATAAAACTAGTCAATTATTGAGGGTGACATGAAATGCTTATATCACGCAATGTTTTTCAGTCATATTGGCCAGTCCTAGTTTATCACATTTCAAAGAACCTGAAATAAAGCTGATGCAAGCAACATATTTGGCCAGTTGGATGAACTTTCACCACATAAATTTGGTATGGATTTTGGGCGATGATATTTTTAATCTTAAGAAACTGGAACGATGGAAAACCAAGAGAATAGTAAGAAAAATGTGGGTTACTCACAATCAATACTGTCATATTGATTTTAACTATTACAACATTCGCCCATTTTTTTTTGTTTACAATTCTGCAGTCCTACATCCTGAATCAGTGGTGCTCATCTTAGCCAAACCCCTAAAGCATTAACATAAGTTGTGGTGACTGATGCCACCATCAGCTACTAGCTGAAGGTTAAACTTTGGACGTATGTGGTTGAGGAGACATATTTTAATCAAAGAGTCACTCTGATTGCTAAGGAAACTCTTCCTACTCCTTGTACATCAAAATATCTGTCAGGTGATACTCCTATTCCAAGTGTTATTTAATCTCCTACATTATAAGGAACATTAAAATTTAATTCAACCAGTCCAGACAAGGGAAACAATTTTATTTCATTATGCTTCTTTAATAGATATGACAGGACAAATACTGGTTACTTCATCAATCAAGGGTCAGACAAGTCACAGTTTGTCCTTCAACTATTTTCGAAAAACTGGTCATGGTGGAGCAGATTTCTCCATCAAGCAGACATTCACAAATCACTAAACCAATCCCTGACATTTGTGCAGCTTAGTACCTCGGACACCCTGACCTGTCGACTGAAAATATCAGAGATCGACTGACGAGTTTCAAATTTATAGATGACCTGCACTCCTTCTTGAGTCACTAACTCGTAAAAGTAAAAGAGTAAATGTCACCAATCATCCTCCATCAATCTGTGTGCTTTTTTCACTTCAAACTAGAAGAAAAGGAGCAGACAAAAGCTGCCAGTGCTCGTCCTTGACATATGTAGCCTCATAAAAAGTTCTTCCTTATGATAAAAGTCTTCTTTGTCTGTCAATATGCCGCACGGAGGCAGTGATGACACAGCAAAAATGTATGCTGTGCACCGCTCTTGACAAAGATATAAGGGAGCAGAGAACGGCAGATTTCAACTAGTATGTGTTAGCTAATACCCGATCATCTTAGAAACTAATATTTCTGTGTCTTCACAAGAGAAATTAAAGCTTTGATTTAAAATAAAAGAAGAGCTCAGTTAAGGATAAAGTTAACTGCACTTTATGTCAATATATGAGGTTTATTCTTACTGAACAAGAATTTCATATAATGGAATAACTCTGTTCTCACAAGGACAGTCACACAACAGTAAAATATTTTCTTACTTCTGCAAAAAAGAAAAAAAAGTTTTTATTCACTAAAAAAATGACACTACTTCTGAGCCATCCCACCATTGTGGTGCAGAGGAGCTGATGTTGGAGGTCACACGTCTCTATTCCCTATAGGCAATAAATTTCTTCTGACAGTTTGTCTAAAGTGTGGCAGGCTGACTGACCACTTGATTGTCCGAAAGAGGGCGCAGCTTGGTGGGGATATAGAAGACCGATTAGTTGTCTGACAAACTTTACTACATTCTAAATGTCTATTTTTGCTTCAGTAGGCTGCACAAATATCAATAAGACAATTAGCAAAAAGCTTAGCTAGGTACCATGACCATGTGTAAATCCATCAGTCAAGCGCAAAAACAGCTAACCAGTCAAGGACATGGCCAGTTCATTGGCCACAGAGAAGGGGAACCAGACAAGGCAATTGGACAGCAAGCACATCAGGAAGGAGAGGTGATAATGTTCCCAATTGATTCAGTCACCATGCCAGATTAATGCAGAGGAGACAATGAACATACATGATAAGCTACGGCAGTGAAACCTGCTGCTGTGCCAGAACCAGTCAGTAAGTGTGACAGAGAGCAGAGACTGCACCCTTCATGCTGCCAACAGATGGCCTGAATAAAACATCTCCATCTAGAGGAATGAAGAGACAAGGGCATTTGATTACTTTTTTATTTTTATTTTTTTACAATGAAAACAAAAATTAGGTTTGTCCTCAAGAGAGGATGTAAGGAAGAGGTGTTATACGCTCATCTGCTCCTGCTCTGCACATATGCAGGCAGGTCATGCACACAGATCAAACATGTTGCCCAACAGGATTTCTCATCCCTCCACTGCGTTGGCTACGTATCACCTGCTCCTCTACCATATAAGGTGCATTTACCCAACTACGCTGTTATCCGTGTTTTACCTACCATCACACAAACAGAGGGAACAATCTGTACAATTCAGATTCTTCCGACAGCCAGGTGATTTATGCCAGCAGAATCAACAGCAAGAAATGACAGCAGCAGACGCACGCAAGCTGCTGATTGAGATTTTGCACAAAGAATAGGCATACTCACATACTCACACAGCTGAAAGGTTACCGCCACCAGCACTGTGATGTGAAAATCCTCCCACCTTAAAATGATGTTGGAATGGCACATGCGGTGGGGCACCGGCCACCACAACAGCGTGCTTTATGTGTATGAGTGTGTGTGTGTGAATGAGTGTAGGTGTGCGTGTGTGTGTGGAGACAAGCTAAGCTGCACTCTCACTGCTACTGCCTCAGCTGGGGCTGTCTCAATGCACAGCCTGTACCATGTCGGCAGCCAGCAGGGGTGGGCATGAGTATCAGTAGAAGTGCGTGTGCATGTGTGTGTGTGTGTGTGAATAAAACTGCATAGCAGAGATACGCTGTTTATTACGTGACAAAGCTTTTTACTGACTGGATAAAGGAATAAAGATTGACAGATGGAAGGATACATTGATTGAAACATTGGTTAGTGTGGAGGAAAGGAGGATCAACAGGACAGAGAAGCAAAGACAGGAAAACAATCAAATGTGAATCCGATTCTCCAGAGTTTAAAACTGCTATTTACATACACTGTAGAAAAAGACACACAACCTTTTATTTTGCTGTCTGATATTAAATCAGACTGAACTTTTCCCGTTTTAGATCAGTCAGAATAACATTTTTTTTTTTTTTTTGTCCTTAGAAAAATGTTATTCACTTCGTTCCTCTTTTGGGCATCCTTCCACATGCTTCTTTGAATAGTTTGTTGTAATTTTGGTGGCACTTAGAACTAATATGGCTGCATTTGTAAACCTTTATTTTACAGTCCCCTAATTATGATTTTAACTACCTGATTAAAGTCTTTAGATGTTACTTTATTTTTTTCACATGATGCTCTTCCCTCATGATGTCATCTATTTATGAAGTGCACCAGTCCCTCTTGAGGCAAAAAACTTGTTTTTCTGTTTGCAAACATCCTACTGTTCCTCCAAATGTAACAATATTTATTATGGAAAACGACCAATTAAGTGTTATTAGACTACAAGGATAACATATTACATATTAGCAAAATGTAATCTGTTTTTTTTATATATATTTTGTCTTCCGAGTTCTTTGATGAGTAGACTGTAGGTCCACAGAAATCGTCTCACTAATTAGATTCAGTCAGTTATTTAGAAAGTATTTTATTTTTGTTTTAGGGTGGATGTAAATATTTCATACCAAGACACATGCATCCCTGGGGCATAGAACCTGTTTTGTTCCTGTGCAGGATGGCCTGACATTCCCATGCTCCTTACATACTATTTGTTTGAAAAGATAAGTACAGCTCTGTCAGGCATCTGGAAATTGTCCAACGGTGAACCAGACTTGCAGAGGTTTGCATTTCTCTTCCAGATGTCTTGCCTGATTTTTTTCTACTTTCTTTTGATGTCAATCAAGAGGCAGGTGGGTTGAGTTGTTGTATCTTGAACTAAATTCCCAGCTTAGTCCCCAATTAACTGGAATTTTTAAAGCTAACCAATCAGAAGCTGGCAAAGCCATGACATTATCATTTGTATTCTTTGATTTAACTATTGAAAAGTATACATATCTTAATTTAAGACTTCTGAATCTTCAGTAAAACAAATGTCACACACATTGCACATTGAAGTCACTTGCAGATACAAGTAAACCTTATGATGGGGGAACAAAATGAGGATGAGACAAAACAGACAGTCGCTGCTACAAAAGGAGTGAGGAAAAGATGGGGGAAAGAACCAAGAGAGGAAAATAAAAGTGTTAGAATAGAAGAGAGATTAAAGAATAAGTGTGAGGTAGTAAAATCCTAAAGAAAACAAACAAAGAGGAAGTGAGCCAGGGAGTGAAGACATAGTAGAGAGTAATAAGGAGAAGAGGCACCTTTTAAGGACATACAGCTCAAACAAGTGTCAAGCAGTTTGGGATTCCCAAAATAAATTTTTAAACTAGCATATTACACTCCCTAGTAAATTTATTAACGACAGAACATAATGTCTGCGAATCCTTATGTTTATGTGATTGTCTCAACCATCCCTAAAAAAAAAAAAAAAAAATCCAATCCCAAAAATAACAACCAAATATTCTTCATAAAATATCCAAGATTAAAAATAAAAACATAACCCCTCCTTCCGCACAGAGTGCCTATGTGTTGGTATCATGTCACCATCACACGTTGCATTGCATCACTTAAAGGAAAAGAAGGATAGGAGGAGAGCAGTGAGAGTCTCACTGCCTCAAAATGCTCCTTTTCTAAACTGTGCCTACATTTTTCTAATTATTCATTTATCCTCCCCCCACCCCCTCATTCTTCTCTCCTTTGGTATTTCATGTGTATTATGTAAATATCAAATGCTGGACATCACCAGAATCACAAACATCTCCTTGCCATGTCAGGGTATTCCCACTAGGATAAATGCACGTTAAACAGGGCTTAGCTTGGCATACAGCGGCTTGTGCTACAGAGGACAGGACAAAGCAATGCAGAGCTCTCAGATTTGTTTGTCAGTCATGCACTTGCACAATCTTTCCTGTTAAAAAGAATTGCCTGTCTGGATACATGACAGGTTTTGAATAAAAAAAATAAATAAAAGAAAAGTACTGTTCGGCATAATATTTTCACTAGAGAATGGTGGAAAAGCAGACGCTTTCTCAAAGAAATAATAGTTCTGCTATGATGGCTGCCAAACTATGATGCTTGATTTGGAAGCCTAAACAGTTGCAAATATTCTATTCTGAATAATACTAATTTACCTAATCTTATGTCAGTTCTTTTACGAGATGGAAACAATTTAAGAAAATTAAATATTAGCTTAATAATTAAAACTATGAATTATCTTATGGTGTGTAAAATCTAATTTACTGATGGGATTTACTGGATGTAGGTTGATTCTTCAGTATCTACTGAGCTTATTGCCAGCCACTTATTTAGACACATTTGTTTAATTGTGAGTTGCTGTGAATTGCAAAGCAGAGAATCATATGGCAGAAACTCTGTGCTTATTAATCTTCTACGTGGGGTGAAGTATCCTCGTAAAAACCAGCCTACACTTTGCTTCATACCAACTGGTTCTGGAACCACAGCTCCTGAAAAAAGATTGCTTGCTGGGGATGTGGACTCTGTTGGAAGGTTAAATTTGTACCCAATTCACACATGTTCAAGGAGAGTCAATAACAGATTGAGAAAACCTTCATTCAGATGTGACATTCAGATGGTAGGGTATGGTGAGAAATCTATTATAAACAAAGCACACATCCATGCCCTGTACTATCTATATTCCAGGCTGCCGGTGCTGCAAAAGTACTGGAGGTATCTTCTTGGCATATTTTGGCCCACTTTTGATGGCTGGAGCCTCCTTACAGAAGGCATACAGTTCATCACCCTTCTCTCCCCTATGGAGGATCAGATCACAACCTGGTTTATCTCCAGTCTCTATCTAAACCCTCGGTAAGCAGAGAACTAGCTGTGATGGCCTGAGGAACTGTTTCAGCTCCACTGAGTGGCTCCTCATTGGTAAGACACTGGCAGCATCACAGACTACATCAACTTCTGTGTAAACAACATTGTGCCCATTATGAAGGTATAGTGTTTCTCCAAAAACAAGCTTTGGGTAAACCCTGAAGCCCTCATCAAGGAAAAGAAGAGAGCCTTAATATTAGGAAACAAGTCTGATCTGACAGCTGTAAAGAAAGAACTTCGGAGGACGCTTAGAAATAGAAATAACATCTACAGAAAGATGATGGAGGATCAGCAGAATGCTATTAGAATGTTTTGGAAGAGCCTGAAGACATTGTCAGGTCACAAGTCAAATTCCCAGACAATAGGAGACTTAGTGTCTGCACACATTGAGCTGCTCTTAAGTGAAAGCTCCGCATGTGTGAAAGTGAACATGCGCAGAATCCACGGCTACAAGATTTGTTATGTGCAGGCATGGACAGGTAACAAAAACAACGGTGGATAGCATCGTCTTGCTGGTGGTGGTAAGAAAGGTCGATGGCACCATGCGAGAACCTCGCTTCTGTTGGACTGCCTCAGGGCAGCTGTGGCTACAATCCAGTAGCTTGCCACCATCACAGAGTGGATGTGTGAATGAGTGGGAATGACAGCACCATACAGTGGCGTGGCATGACAACTACAACGGATTCAAGGCATCGTTGGAGTCTTAACGTGGAACTTTGCCTCAAGTAACATAATAAAATACCTGCAGTTTACAGACGGTGGCATGGGGTAAATGATGTAGTCTTGAGGTAGATGAGCAACCTGAACCAGTTCTATACCTGGTTTGACCCATCCCTCCCTCAGTCCAACACTTCAGCTGAGGAATGAACTACAGAAGATCAAGTTGGGACAAGCAAGGTACATTTTTCTACCATTTATATGATTTTTAGGAAAGCATACCAAAAATGGTACTTTTTCTTAGTCTCTGTGTGGACATTTGTTTGGTGACAAGCATATTGTGGGTTTAAATCACTGAGTCTACAGTATAATTTAATATTGCCTAATTTTTTTATTAATTAAGTAGGTTGTAAAAATGTATTATTGCAACAGTAGTTTCACTGAATGCAGCAAAAGAGACACAGAATAGGATAGAATAAAAATAGAATAGAATAGAATAGAATAGAATAGAATAGAATACTTGCAAGTCATTATTGCAGTGCCTCAGTAACTCACTGTTGAGTTTGGTTGAGGTCTTGGTTCCTCTATAGTAATTTAGCTTAGTCAAGAAGCATATGGTGGAGTAAGGAGAGAGAGAGAGAGGAGAAGAGAAACTGGAAGCAGTGATGGGGATCAGAAACAGTCCCTGAATATCAATGCACCATGTCTAAGAGAATTCAGGGCTGCAGTGCACCAAAAGCAGGGAACCTGGGAAACAGAGCAGAGTAGGATCACAGGCAGCTGGAACTCAAGTACCAGTTTTACATACATCTCCAGGATGACCTGTGGCTAATTTTCATAAATCACAGTACACCATACATAGTCACTTCTCTGGACTTCCTGTTTGAATTCGTTTGTCAAATTGTTTACTTGTGATTAAATATAAAAAAGAAAAGGTTTGCAAGTAAGAAATCATGCAACAGTGAACTTGTTCCACACACCTTTTAATGATAATTTGCACATGCCTCATTAATATGATGGACGTGTTGCTTCCCAATCAAGTACCGCAGGCGGATGACTTTCGAGGAAGCACTGCAGGGGTGCCTTCCCACTACAATAAGCACACATTTATTTAGATTTATTTAGATTTAGATTAATTAAGCTGAATTG